ACTGTAGGCGGGGCCTCCTCCCGCCGTCCCCCCTGTAGGCGGGGCCTCCTCCCGCCGTCCCCCCTGTAGGCGGGGCCTCTGGGAGGACAGGTGGGGCCTCCTCCCGCTGGGACGGGCACCCTGCGGGAGAGGAGACCCCGCACTCCCCCACCCGTGGGGGCCGACCGGGTCCTGCGCCAGCCAGCAGCTTGGCCTTCCACCTGGCTGCCCCTCGCAGCGCTAGTACTTAAGGCGCTCAGCCTATGTTATTTTGCTGCTTGCCTGAATGATAATTTATATTTCTAAGCTCCTAAAAATCTTTTATTTTTTTCATAGTACAAGACAGAAGCCAACTGAACAATTTTACACCAGGAAATTATCGGCCTGCCTTCCTCATGTAGATAATTTTAAATATTTTTTTTTTAAAATCTAGCCATGGAACACTATCTGACTGACTTGCTGTCACAGCACCTGAGTGCTCCACAGCGGACCTGGAGCAAGGAGAGGGTGGAGGAGAACGAGGGGCCGCCCTGTCACCCCTGGACACCAGCTGCCGCTCCCCCACTGAGCCCTTGCAGCCTCGCGGGGGTGCTCGGCAGGTTTGAGACATGCCTCAGTTTCCACCCAATGGGGCAGGAGCAGGCCCCGAGGCTGGGGAGGGGAGGCCGCTGTAAACGGCTTTCTGAGGCGGTGGGGTTGCCCTTGTTGCTGTCTTGCAGTGCCGGGGACTGAACTCAGGACTGAGCTATTCCACTGAGCTTTCCCCCGGGACCTGCTTTCTGAGTTTTAATATGATTTTTTTCTGGAATTATCTCTTCTTCAATTTGGGTAACAAGAGGTACAACAAGAGTACCAGTAGCGTCCGTTACTTACTCCCTCTGAGAAGCGATAGGTCCATTTGACTCAGAAGATCAAAAAGGAAGCATTGACCTGACTCTCACATTAATATTCTTCTACACGTGTCTGGAAGCATCTATATTCTTCAATAACTACTTCCAACAGCCTTTAATCTGCATAGATATATACCACACATTTATTTTATAACATATTTAAGTGGGACAGATTTATGGTTGTGTAGACATGGCATCTATTTTTCAGGTGGTTTTTTCTCATGTTTTTGTAGTGTCATGGACCAAGCTCAGAGCCTCAAGTATGCTCAGCAAATCCTACGTACGTCCTCAGCCTAGATTTTATAAAATAAAAAGCTTAAAACAATTTTGATTTGTTCCAGCGAAAGCAAAGTCCACACGAAGCCCGGAGACGCGCGCTAGCAGCTATTTACCCGCGCCTTCTCAGGAACCACCACGCCCGGTCGACGCTCCCACCGCGGCATCCGTGGCGGCGCCCGGCGCAGCACGAGATCAGGTTCTGCGGGGAGAGGTTGGCTGTGAACCGCCCGCTGGACTGGATCGCTATTCGGTCAGCGGCCACACCTGTGCCGGGTGGAACATTGATTAGCGCCCGAATCGTGCATCCCGCGGCGCTGGTAGGCTACATTGCCTTTAAGCTTCCAAAACCGTACAGCACTTACAGCGAGACCCAAATGTCATCTATTATCTAAGTGGCCCGGCCAGCTCAGCGGCGTCCCGTTGTCACACCGGCCTGCGTTCACACTGCTCCAGGAACTCAGCGACTTTGCAGACACTTTCGCTCCTTGCCCCTGTCTTCTTTAGAAACCCGGCAAGTGGAAGAGGTTTGTTCCCCCCCCCCCATTAAAAATGCCTGTGCACCAGTGACAAATGGCCTCCTATTGCCATCTGTGACATTCTCAAAAGAGTGACTCATTGTTTCACAAATGAAAGTAGCAATTCTTCAGTGTTTTCACATTTGGTATGAGGACTTGGAAATAAGTATAAATTTTTAAAATACTACTGCAGCTTCTTTCTTTGAGAAAATGCTTTTGGAAAGTAGCAGGAAACAGTAGCAAGGAGTTGGATGGCCAGCGCTCAGCATCGCCTGCTCCTGCCCGGCCTGACCAAAGCCCCTTCCCCTGCACGCTCCTGTGAGTAAGCCCAGGGGACCCAGAAGGCGCGGTGACCTCTAACGTCCCCTCCAGCCCAGTGAATCTGGACTCAGCTAAGGCTGCGTGCTTCTCCCCGAACGTTCTGCAATGTGCTGTTCTTACGTGCGGAGACACTTGTGGGTCTCAGTGAAAGTCCAGTTCAAATTCTCTTGAAATATTTCCAAAAGGTCAGAAGCTTTCAGAATGACTCAACACAGCCAGCTGGCTGCACTCTTTTTGAGAACTCGTGTTGGGCATAACCTCTGAGACACGCTGGCATTTTCTATTTATTTTATTTTGCCTCCAAAGTTACTTTGTGACGCATGTCACTCCCACCACTGCAAATGTCTCCACCTCTTCAGCTTCTGACAAATACTGAGAATTTTATTTTATTATATAACTGTGTGTGCAAATGTCTTATTTATTCCATTTGTACTATTTTGTTTTCTCTTAAAACTTTTTAACTACTTTCACACAAAATTCTCTAGATCTTTAAAACTCTTAGAACAAAAATAAAATAGATCAATTTACCATAATAAATACACAAGACTCAACGCTGTATTCTCTGAAACCACAGGGGGCTGAGAACAATTTTTCTGCTGCTGTTGTAAGTGAGGTAAAAGGAGTGATCCAAATGCAGCCTACTGCTGCGGGACATGTGAGGACACCAAAACTATGTGCCCCAGATCGGCCTGGGACGGTGCCCTATGGGGACCCCAAGTGTCCTCAGAAGTGCTCTGCTAAGTAAAGGCAGTGGTCCGCGGGACGTAGCCGGTGTAACTCACTAGCCGCACGCACATAAAGTGGCAAGTAACCCATGCAGTTAACTCTTGCCTCGCCTGTGAGCGAAGCAGACTCAGAAAGCGAATCCCTCACTCAGAAGGGACAAGCACCAGAGAGCAGAACAGGTGTGTGGCAGAGGCGACAGCCATGCAGAAGTGACCGGCAAAGCCTCGGCTGAGGTGAGCACAGGCGATTCTGAAGGCTGACACTAGGCGGTAACGATTTGGGGACAGAAGGGTCAGCGCGCTGCCTATGGAGCTGGCTTCTCTAAGAGCCCACCGTGACTCACAGCACTCCCTGCTGGGAGCTTGACCGAGCGCTCGTACAAGGCTCAGAAGATGGTCCGCTGGAGTCTCGGGAAGCGGCCAGTCACTGGCGCCTTAGGGTCTATCTGATTGGAAAAGTACCTACGCCTTTGAGAATGATTTGGGAGATCATATCTTGGGGTTGCCTTGAGTAATTCATTTTCCAGGCTTGTGAATTTTTATAAAATTAGTATAAAAGAAATAATTTTTCCACTTTTGGATTAACAATTTGGAAGCTAAACTTATTAAAAGATCTATTGTATCACTTCAGAGTAAAAAATCTGTACATTTACTTATTTTTATTCAAAATATGATAACCTCAGCTCCCCATGCCTTAGCAGACTTGCCCGTAAGGCAGACTGAGCCAGACAAAACAACTACCAAAAAAAAAAAAATCCCTCTCAACTTTTGGGGCTGGGAAGATGGCTCAGTAGAATAAGTGCTTGCCTGGCAAGCACAAGGTCCTGAGTTCAATCCCCAGTACCACAAAAAAGCAATAAAACCAACTTGAGTCACTATTACTGCTAAGATTTTACTTTAGTTCAAAATAGTTTAATATCTAAATATATTTTTATAAACCCTATTAACAGGAAAAATATAAAAATTATGTGCATCTTTTTACTTTCTTTCTTTTCTTTTTTTTTTTTTTTTTGTGGCCTTCTCAGCCCAACCTGGAGGTAGGGCTGGCACAGCATACGGTGCTGGGCATGGAACTGCAGTCCCTGCACCTTGCCTAAGCTTGCCTAAGCAGGCACTTTAGACCACTGAGTTATCTCGCTGGCCCAAACACTCAAGATGCCCCATAACTCACATAAATTAACCAGCCTTGCCAGCATTATTTTGCTGCTCTTTTGGTTCTTCTTTTTTTTAACTTTTTTATCTTTCATTCATTTATTTATGTATTTGGTACAGGGTCTTACTATGCAGCCTGTACTTGCAGTGATCCTCCTGTCTCAGCCTCCCCAGTGCTGAGATTATAGGCATGCACCACCATATCCAGTCTTGGTGGCCAGCTTGGTGTGTGGCTGGCATGGCATGCAGTACTGGGATCAAACCCGGGTCTTTGCACTTGCAGGCAGGGATTTAGACCACAGAGCTATCTCCCCAACCCTTGGTTCATTCTTTATTTAAAATTAGAGATTGGTAACCAACTTTAGACTAAAAATTATAATCTTCAGGTTGCTTTTTCTAGCTAAATGTTATCTTAATTTATTAAAAGTTATAACCTTAAAAACTTTTCATTATTTTCCCAGGCTCTAAAGCCAAGGGCGAATTCCTAAGGAAGCAACAGAAGTGGCATCTATTACTTGCAGTGGAAAACGCCCAGGATGCAGCGCAGTTTTTTTGATCCAGGGGTCCGTGGGTCCATCCCGGCCACTTATAAGAAGCAACAAAAAACTCTGGAAGATCAGATTGGGCAGGTAAAGCAGCCTAGAAGAAAGACAGACAGGAATATCAGATTTTCTCAAATGCCTCCCAACTTCCATCATGAGAAGACATCACTGTCCCTGTTCATGTCTATGATGACTGTCTGATTATTTTGTACATTAAAGTTTCTGAATAAAGCACAGCTACACATGATTTCCACATCACTCACTTTTTAGAAATGACAGTAGTACAACAAAAATCACAATGAACAACACACTGAAATATTATGTTTGTTATTTACCTCACAGTGCAATAATTCAAGTTAATGTTTCCACCATCTTGAATGAGAGCTTGCTCGTCCACGTGAGAGACCACGTGACATTTACACCTGGCCACGTAAGGCATGTTCACCTCCCCGTCCCTCCTGTTGGGAGAGTGCCTGTGGCTCTGCAGTAAGAGCAGTCCCTCCGCGCTGCCTTCGCAGCAGCCTCCTTGGAACGTCCTGAGAGCCCCCGAAGGCCGACTCACACCAATTCTTGGGAGATGCACTGAGGTGAATTGCTTGGTACTTACAGAAATCCCAAAGATGCAAGAGGATGTAAGAAGTTTGTCGTACTAAAAGTACCGTAATGTTGCAAAAGCCCATGCTAAAGTCCCGACAGAGCCAACATGGGCTGCTGTCTTTAAAAGGTAAATTAAATATTATATTCCTTCTGTGTTTCAAAATACTAGTGGCAATGTCTATTGTTTTGTAAGCTTCACTAAAGAGCAATGCTGTTCCCATCTAATTCATCAGAAGTTAAATCAAATAAGGATTTATTAATTAATTGCCATCATTGATATGCACTCATACACAATCATCATTTTTAGAGTGCTGTAAGTCTTGTAGGTATTTTAATACTCCGTTTTTTCCTGTATTCTCAATAATCTTGTGTGAATACAACCAGGAAGACATTATTACTACTTTCTTTACAAAGGACATAACTCAATTCTAAAATCTGGAAGACAAGCTAAGGACTCTCAGATAAGTAAGATTTACTACTGGAATCAGAACCGGTTTTGGAATGCTGAAGTGCTGGCTCAACTTCTACTATTTTCCTATTTTATCACAGTATGGGTTCAGGACCTTATAGCAAAACTAGAGTGTCCATAAAAGATAAAAATTTTACAAGCCTTCTGACTGTTCTTTAGGAGTAGAAGCTGCCGATTTGCTATCCTGCAGTGATTTCTGACAGGTACATAATGGCCTCGAGGTCTAAAGCAAGGCAATTGAGAATTTATGTGTCTGCTGGAAAAGGTTCCCATCAGAAAGAATTTATGAATTTGAACACTAATAGAAGCGTTCAGTTTTGATTTAGAGAACTGATAAGAAGTCATGAAACCCAAACCCATCACTGACAGCACTGCTTAGCTCAGTGAAGCAAGAGCAGGAGGCTCGGCAGGTCGACGCCCGTGGGATAGGGGAGGAGCAGCCCGCGACACCGAGTGGCCGCGGAGCCTAATGCTGGCAGTGGGGCACGCCGAAGAGGCCAGGAGCTGGAGCTGCGCTCGTTATTGCTCATGCGGGGCAGGTTCAGCGGTGCAGACTCGGTCTCCAGAAATGCACGTTAAGTGGGCCCGAAGTGTGCCTCGTGGGCACTACTCCTCCCTCCCAAGGTGATCGCTATCATTGGCTCATCACTGCGCCTTTAGGCCTTCGTCATGTTGCCTCGATTTTACAGAAAAACAGGGACACTCCATTGCTGTTTTGTTATTTTAAAATTCCAATTTAATAGCACAGATGGGCCATATCCTTTCTGTTCTGTTGACACAATGAAGGTATCACTATTATTTCAAACACATTTCTGATGAACGACCATTTTGTATCTGTATATTCAAAATAGTTAGGATAGATATACAGCTACATTCTCTTAATTCAATGAATAGAGGTTTGTTCTAACAGTGTTTGAGACAGGATCTCATGTCTGCATCTTGTACAGTGAATAACTACTAAGACAACAATATGCAATGTATTAATTACTGAAACTGTGCTAGCAATTGGTTTTGAAACTGTCTCATTGCTATTTGTTTCTCAATAAAATTATTTAAAAAATAAAGTAACAAATTTTTAAAAAACACATTTCTGTAGTGTTGAGTTGGTTTCCACACTGAGATTACCAGAGTGCTTTGCAGGGGGGAAGGTGCTGAATCTGACTACAAGAAGGCGTATGTCAGGCAGGTTTCCTCTTTTCAGAATGCCTGAAAAGAGGAAATAAATTGACGTGTGAAGGAGAGTTATTGTACCAACAAGCACATTTTGCTATTATGATTTATTCTTTAAAATAAATTGAATGGGGCTGGGATATAGCTTAGTGGTGCAGCACCTGCCTAGCAAGCACAAGGTCCTGAGCTCAATTCCTGGTACCAAAAAAGAAAAGATGATTCTGAACTTAAATAAAGTGAATGGTGGTCTAGGGAGATAGCTTGGCACGTAAGCGCCTGCCTGGGAAGCACAAGGTCCCAAGTTTGATCTTCAGTGCCACATGTCATGTTGGCCCCACAACCAGGCGTCATGGTGCACGCCTGTAATCCCAGCACTGGGGAGGCTGAGATAGGAGGATCACTACAAGTCTGAACCATATAGTAAGACCCTGCATCAAAAAATAAATAAAATAAAATAAAAACACTAAAATTAATGAATAATCTTTCTTCCCAAGGTAAAGCAATGAAGAAACAAAGTGACATGTTTATTGAAAACATGTTTACCATTTCACTAAACTACCTGAATATATCTATTACATTTTATATTTTACCATTTATTTAATATTGCTTTTCCTCAAAATGAGTCTCTAAAACTTGAAGCACACAAGACCCATATTACCTTGTGATTTTATTAGACAATTTTATATCAGACCATCTAATCTGAAAAGGCAGAGAAAATTTTATATTCCATAATTATATTATTCTGTAAGAAAGAATGTTATTTATAGAGTCTAAACTATCACAAAATAAGGATTGTTTTTCTATTTTTGGCAGAACCAGGGATTGAACTCAGGCCCTTGCGCTTGCCAGGGAAGCGTTTATTCCACTGAGTCACCTCCCCAGCCACTTAAAGTAAGAACTTCTTAAGAATTAGTAAAGAAGTCTGTCTTCACTGATCAATGTATTTTTAAATTTTGACTTAATTTTTTTTGCCAAAAGAAGCACTAATAAAGCAGAAGAATCAAGAAGACCAGCTAAGACTGACAGGAATTCTACAATTAGTGTTTTTAACTAGCTAAACAAGAAACAAATTTATATTTAAACAAGATTTACACTCTTCCATGTGGCCATTTAAAATCCTTTTCATTGTTATATTCATTTAAGTTTGTAAATATTTTTATTAGAATGTGCAGTCTATTATCAATCTCATGTTATGTATTCATTTCAGAAAATTCATTTCTAAAATTCATTGTCTACATCTTACATCTTTCCCATTTCAATATTTGTCTACAATTTTTTATTTGCTATATATTATTTTCAATAAAGTTAATAATGAGTTTTAAAAAAACATATTACTCATACCATTCCAAACTCAGCATTTGCCAGATTTGAGACTAAACTTTAACATTATTCTTGTTTTAATTACTCCATATAGGAATTAAAAATTAAAGATATTCTGGACAAATATTAAGTGCAGTGATAAGCACTGGAGAACTTCGCCTAATTCCTTAGTTTAATGGAACTACAATCTCTGGCTGCTGGGACTGTGTCCCAGAGCAGTTGGAGACAAATGGTAAACTTTCCAGGAGCCTCTGTATAACAGCTTGCTGGCGTCCCAGCCCATACAATGTCCTCTGTGCGAACGGTTCCTCTCCATCCAGTTGCAATTTTCCTTTCCCCACTTCAACTGGGATAATCAGCAGGCTTGTGCATTACCCAAAGCAGCAGAGGACATAGTGCGTTTGACCTTCACAGCCTGAGGTCAGTGGCAGTGACTCCCAAAAGTTGACATTTAGGAGTAAAAGGGTAATTTTCTGGTAGCTAGTGGTTACGTGGCTGCCTAGCATCTGACAGTCATTGCTGCGCGCCTGCACATTTACAGGTGCGTCTGTGGCTACCTCTCTGGCTCCCAACAGCAGACAGGCTTTAGTGGCCTCGTCCACATCAGCGCTCAGGGCCAGCAGGATGACCACTGCTGTTCTCCACTCTCCCCTTTCATCATAGGACAAAATTTCCATCTCAGTCCACGCAGGCTAAGAAAAGTGACTGCCTGTCCCCCATTTCCTGGACATCTCTTGCCACTGTCAAACTTTGGTGTTGTAGGCCAAGGTGTCACTTTGCACTTCTGAGAAATTAAAGGTGATTGGCACTTGACTTTAGCTCCTTCGTCTTGCTCTTTTTTCTTTTCCTGGGCTCAGGAGTTTGGGGACCCACGTGGACAAGTCTTCACAACCCATTCCATGCTCTCGGACATAAAGCCCTGAGCAGTGGGCAACACCAGGGCAGAGTGAGTGAGGGCGTGTCACACTGTGAAGCAGATTCCCCGTGGGAACAGCCAGCCCAGCGCGCTGTTCAGCAGCTCATTCCTGTTGTAGCCCCATTGCAGACAGTCATGGTTCATGTCCCCATCAGCTGAGCCTAATTGTCACTGATACAGTGCACACAGCCAACATGACAGCTGACAGCACAGCGCCATATTCACTAGACCCAAGTCATCCTCAGGTGGAAGGCAACGTCCTAATTTCAGAAGTGCAGTCTAATAGCAAAGAAGGTGAGAATGCCGTGGATGAGCTATGATGCTTCCTACCTAATGCCTTGGAATACTAGTTCTGAGGGGCTTTGATAGCTAATTTTTTTTTTTATTTTAGGGAAGGGTCTACAGGGTGTTCAGGGGCTCACCACTAGATCGGGCTCATAGAATGCACCTCTTTACAGCCTGCCAAGTGCTCGCATTACAGGCGCGCACCACCATGCCCCGTCCAATTGCTGTCTCAGTGCACCCTGGGGTGGGGCCAGCCCGGCAGGTCCATGGATGAAACCCCCCAGCCCCTGTAGCTGCTTACAGGCACTTTAATCTGCTGAGCTATTTGGTCGACCCTTCA